CACACACACACACACACACAGAGGAACAAAATGGTACAACCTTGTCTCGTCATGTGACAGAGATGATGTAGTTTGTTTTGAAGCAGACTCGGACACGAACACACACGAACAACACCGCGAGTGACAGTTAAAGGTCAGCAGGTTGTGGGTTAACATGGGCCTTTACTGCAGTCCTGTGACCACGAGGCAGGGGCCCCACCCGCGGGGGCCAGGTCACCTCACATCCGTAAACACACACACACACACACACACACACACACACACACACACACACACACATAACATGTATTCCTGTCAAATGTTGTACATGTCCACAGATTCTGTTTTACTCAGGAGCCAAACTTGATCACTGGAGATTCTTAGAAACACGACGCTGTAGGAAAAACTAATCACCAAACACAAACCTGATTTGAATTGAAACTCAAATCTTGTTTGAACCCACGACCTCCGAGCTGACCTCTGCCCGATGACATCACTGCACACAAGTAGTGAACAACACACAAATATACAACAACTTTAGGAAAAAAACAGTAAATCCGTAAACAGTAAATAGTGATTACATGAAAAGTTATGAAATTATGATTTGATTAACAATTCCTTGACTTGGTTTAGTTATTTTATGTATTGTATAAATGTCACATGACTAGTGGGATATTTGTTTTTATACAACATGAAGCCGGGTTTATTTGTGAGTGTTATGGAGGCACAGCGTTTCTCAGCAAAGGGAGCGGCGCCCTATTTCTCTGTTTTCTGGTTTAGGCAAACACCCTCACGTGGTGACTCCTGCTGACTCACAAGAGGCAGGGATGTGTCCAAATGGTGCAAGAATAACCTCAGTGCTCAGACTCGTTGTCAAGAGTCGGAGCAGCGGCTGAAACACACGTGAAAATAAATCTAAAAATATGGGATTGTGTAAATGTTGCCCTGCAGACAGGAGAGGTCAGATAATACAGATGACCTCTGACTAAAGACCCGGGGGTCGGATAGTCGGATAGTTACCCAAGCTGAGCCACCGCCATTCCATTGACTAGATTAAAAACACTGCTCTGCCTTTATACAACTGTTATTTCACATCTTTCCTCTCTTACGTGTTTATCTCCTGTTTTGTTTTTAAGTTAAAAAGGGGGAATCTCTCTGTCACGGTCTAAATGGAAAGACTTTCTTTTGAGTTGTTGAGAGCATCGTGGCCTGGATGCGTCGAAAACACTGGATTTGGAAACGGTTGCCAGAGGCTACATCTGTGTCACAAGGCTGACGGCCAAGAGCCTGTTTGAAATTCACAGCGTTCTTATCAGAGCTAAAATGGCGGCGCCCTGCTGGACTGCAGCTGAAGCAACGGAMAAAAAAAAAAAATCAACTATAACAAAGTTGTCCTATTTCGAAGTCACCTTTTATTCTTTATCGTTCATCTCTCGGCCTGTTGGATTGTGAGCCGGATGCACAAGTCTTTTGGAGTTGAAATCTGGTGCTTACGTGGACTAAGGAGCCAGTTTAGAAAAATGTTTTCTTGCACGTGTCTATGTCATTGAATATGATTTTAAAAGCGGTTTAATCCCAGATCTTCTCCTTCTCTCTGTGTTTCCCTGCATGCACCTGTGCAGGACAGAGCAGGTGTTGTCGCTGCACCCTGAGTGAAGTGAGTCACTCAAGCTTGCACAAGGATCCGGCGGGCTACTGTTATTGCAGTTATTAAGTTATTATGAATGTAATCAACTCTGTCTCATAGTTTTCACGATAAAAGCGTCATTCAAGC